TGCGTTGCATCAGTTAGCAGTGTCTCCTACTGCAGCAGCAGCAGCAGCAGCAGGAGGAGATGCAGCAGCAACAGCAGCAGCAACAGATGCAGCAGCACTAGATGCTGCTGCTGCATCTCTTGCAGCAACAACGTCTCTTGGTAATTGTGGTGCCTTACTTGGTGACCCAACAGCAGCAGCAGCAGCTGCTGCTGCAGCAGCAGCAGGTGCAGCAGCACCAGCAGCAGCAGCAACATCGCTGCCTTCCTTGGGGCCCCATACCCTTCAAGGGTTCGATACAAGTCTGTGTCTACCACAGATGCCCAGCAGCAGCAGCAGCAGCAGCAGCACGAGCAGTACAGTTGCATCTCTATTTGGTTCAGGAGATAATAACAGCAACAACAACACTGCAGCAGCAGCAGCAGCAGCAGCAGCTGCTGCAGCAGCAGCAGCAGGTTTAGGTGGATATAATCCTTTTGGTGGGGTTGTTATACCACCAGCAGATCTATCAATATGTCCTCCTGCTGCAGCAACAACAGCTGCAGGTACTGTGCCTCCTGCTACTACACCTGCAGCAGCAGCAGCAGCAGCAGCAGCAGCAGCAGCAGCAGGAGCAGGAGCAGGAGGAGCACCAGTTGATACATTATGTGGCATCCCATTAAAGACAATTATTCCCTTATCTAGTAGTAGTAGTAGTAATGGTGGTGGAGGGCTTTCGCCTCTAGGACAACAAACAGGAGGAACAACCCCACCTCGTAACCCCTTATCTGAATCGTCATTATCCGGTGTAGTAGATAATATAAATAATTCATGTATATCTTCTTCTTCTGCATCAGTAGGATCAGGAACAGGAACAAATGATAAGAAAATAACGGGTGTATGGTACGATTCTCAACAAAATTGCTGGAGGGCCTCATGGGTATGCGCCGAAACTGGAAGAAGAAAATTTCGATATTTTTCGGTTGTTAAATTTGGACACGATAATGCATTTAAATTGGCTAAAATAACTAAAGAAAAAGCTAAGGAAAGAAAAAAAATTAAATTACAGCAGCAACAAATACACCAAATACAGCAGCAGCAGCAGCAACAGCATGGGGGAATCATGAGCATCACAACGATTGGTGATAGTCCACCTCCTGCTCCTACTCCTGCTGCTCCTATTGGTGGGTTAGGGATTGGGTTAGGTAGTGTTGGTGGGTATCAGCAACAAACAACAGCAGCAACAGCAACAGCAGCAACAGCAGCAACAGCAGCAGCAGGAGGAGGAGAGAGAGGTGTTAAGATGGAGGATACACAAGAACAACAGATATTAGCACTGCAGCAGCAACAGCAACAGCAATTGATGCAGCAGGATCAGATGCAACATGCAGCAGCAGCAGCAGCAGCAACAGCAACAACAGGAGCAGGAGGAGGAACAGGAACAACATCATTCCCTGATGTTAAATCCTCACCATCTTCTGCTACTGCAGCAGCAGCAACAACAACAACAACAACACCATCAGCAGCAGCAACAGCAACAACAGCAACAGCAACAGATTGTATAAGCCGTCTTCCTTCGTCTTCTTCTTCTTACCCGGAGCAAGGAACAACCCCACCAACAGCACCACCATCGTCAACCCGTACATCAACACAATCAGGAGCACAAGGAGGATCAGGAGGAACAGGAGGAACAGGAGCAGGAGAAGAAGGAATGAAGATAATAAAGGTACCAGGTGTATATTATGATAGTGTACGTCGTATATGGCGAGCCTTCTGGCATGAAGGAGGAAAAAGAATTATTCGTTATTTTACTGTTAATAAACATGGATATAAGAAAGCATTACTATTAGCATTAGAGACAAGAAAGAATGCTACATTATATATACAACAACAAAAAAAAAATAAATTCATACATAATATACAACAACAACAGCAGCAACAAGGGCAGCAGCAGCAGCAGCAGCAAGGGCAGCAGCAACAGCAAGGGCAGGGACAGATGAAGGGAGAAAGGGCAGAGGGAGAACATGAACATCTTATACACGATAATAGTCATAGTAATAATAGTATTATAGGAGGGAGGAGAAGGAGATCACCATCTGCTGCTGCTGCTGCTGCTGCTGCAGCAGCAGCAGCAGCAGCAGCAGCAAATGGTGGTGGAGTACTGAGGGCACATACAGAGGCACATTATAATGCTGCTAATGCAAGACTAGAGAAAGCATTAGAACAAATACAACTTATTGAGGAAAGAGAGGCAGCAGAAGCTGCTGCTGCTGCTGCTGCTGCAGCTGCTGCTGCTGCTGCTGATGGTACTGCAAGTACTACCAATAGCAGCAATAATAATAACAGCAGCAGCAGCAGCAGCAACAGCAGCAGCAGTTATTGTGGCGACAGTATTCGTTCTCGTTCTATAGCAGCAGGAGCAGCAGGAGCAGCAGCAGGAGGAGGAGCAGCAGCATCATCGTGCGCCCCTCCCTCAACAGCTACTCCCTCATCATCATCATCAGGTAGCAGCAGCAGCAGCAGCAGCAGCAGCAGCAGCAGCAGCAGTAATTATAATATAGGAGGAGGAGGAGGAGGAGGGTGCGGAGGTCGTGTAGATTATTTAGAGCGTGTAGCTCAATTGCCAATAGAGCCACAGATACATTGGTATGAATCTATCAAGGCATGGGTAGTTACTGCAGCAGATACAGATACACCAATAGGAGCAGCAGCAGCAGCAGCAGCAGGTGCAGCAGGAGATGATGATCAACATCCTGCTGCAGCAGCAGCAACAACAGGAAAAGGGAGCAAAAGGGTACTAGAGGAAGGAGGAGTACGTATACTAAAAATGTTTCCTATAAGAAAGTTTGGATTTCGTGTTGCAAGAGAGAAAGCACTTGAATGGAGGGACAAAAAGAAAGGAATTAATCCTCCTCCTCCTGCTGCTGCTGCTGCTGCTGTTGCTACTGCTGCTCCTGTTGCTGCTCCTCCTGTTGCTGCTCCTACTAATACTGCTGCTAATGCCGGTGCTGGTGGTGTAACTGGATTAGGCATAGCAGCAGATTTGTCCTATAGGAAACATAAAATACAATATCCTTATAGACAAGTATGTCTATTTGTTGCTGCTGCTGCTGCTGTTGCTGCTGTTGCTGCTGTTGTTGTTGTTGTTGCTGCTGCTGCTGCTGTATGTATGTATGTATGTATATATGTATGTATATATTGTATGTGTTGTTGTTGTATGTTAGGGTTTATTAGATCAAGGTAGCCTACTACATACAGGAGCAGCAGGAATGTGTGGTGGTGGTCCTGCTGCTGCTGCTGCAGCAGCTGCAGCTGCAGCTGCTGCTGTATCTCCTAGTTATTCTATGAGTACATGTGCATCAACACCAAGTCCATCTGCATCTCCTGCTGCTGTTGCATCTGCAGCAGCAGCTGCAGCAGCTGCAGCAGCAGCAGCAGCAGCAAATGGTGGAGGAGATATATGGAATCCTTCAACTGCAGCAACAACTGCAGCAGGACAACCAACAACAGCAGCAGGAAGCAACAGCAGGAAACGTATGGCAATAGGAGCAGCAGCATCAACACAAGCAGCAACAGCAACAGCAACAGCAGCAGGAGCAGGAGCAGGAGCAGGAGGAACAACATCTCCATCTGCATGCATATTAGATCCATCATATCTGAATGATTTATCTAACTGTAGCAGCATAACAACAGGAGATAATAATAACCTAGATATCTTATCTAGCAGCAGCAGCAGCAGCAGCAGCAGCAGCAGCAATGACAACAGCATGGATAACAACAACAACAGCAGCAGCAACAGCAACAGCAGCAACAACAACAACAACAGTATAAGCAGCAGCAGCGTAGAGGTGATGCGTAGTGCTGTATGTCATATATTAATAGATTTACAATGTTGTATAAGTAGTTTATTAACAAGTGATTTATTAATAAATAATAATAATAATAATAATAATAATAATAAAATAAATAATATAAATAATAATATAAATAATAATATAAATAATAATATATTATATAATGGTATAGATAAATGGAGTCGTGCGGTGTATGTACACCTAGAATTATTTTCATCATTTGCTATATTTGCATTTAAATTAAAAATAAAAATAATAAATAAAATAATAATGGATATATTTCTTCCTTATTTACGTTTATTTAGTTATTGTATAAAAAATAATAAATTACCTAGTCAATTATCTAAACAATATCAATTATTATTACTAGAGGCATTATCTATATTAATTGATCCTAATTATACATATCTACAGCAGCAGCAGCAGCAGCAGCAGCAGATAGAGCAGCAGCAGATAGAGCAGCAGCAGATAGAGCAGCAACAGATAGAGCAGCAGCAGCAGCAAATGGAATTAGATGGGCAACAGCAACAGCAGCAACAGCAGCAACAACAACAATTACAATTAATGGATATTATTCAACAACAAGGGGAAGAAAATAATATACAAGGAAAACAAAAAGAAGAAGAAGGAGGAGGAGAAGAAGGAGAAGAAGGGGAAGGAGAAGGAGAAGAAGAAGGAGAAGAAGAAGGAGAAGAAGAACATATACAACAACAGCAACAAGAGCAGGAGGAGGAAGAGGAAGAAGAGGAACAACAACAGCAGCAGGAGCAGCAGCAGGAGCAGGAGCAAGAAATGGTGTTACGTCAACAGAAGAGAAGAGCATTATTAAGAAATAATAATAATAATACTGCTGCTGCTGCTGCTGCAGTATCTGGTGCTGCAGCAGCAGAAGCAGCAGCAACTTCTCCTAGTGTAGCTACACCTCCTCTTATTTCCCCACAAGCTTAATATTAACTCTTTTTCTTCTTTTGTTGTTCTTGTTGTTGTTGTTGTTGTTGTTGTTGTTGTTGTTGTTGTTGTTGTTGTTGTTGTTGCTGCTGCTGCTGCTGCAGCAGTAACAGTAACAACAACTTGCTGCAGTTGATGTGCTGCTGCATGTGCAGCAGCATGTGCATAATATCTGCATGCGCTGCTGCTGCTGATGATGATATATATATTCATAATAGTGCAGCAGCAGCAGCAGCAGCAGCAGCAGCAACAGCAGCAACTGCAATAGCAGTCTTTTTATACTTTTCTTCTATTTATTTTTTCTTTTCTCTATATACATTGTTGGCCTGTTACTGCAGCAGCAACTGCAGCAGCAACTGCAGCAGCAAATGCTGCTGTTGCTGCTGTTTCTCTGTAGGTTAAGTAATAAGAAGTTTCTGTCTTGTTAAATGGCATACAGCAGGAATAGCAGCAGCAGCAGCAGCAGCAGCAGCAGCAGCAGCAGGAGCACTAGTAGTAGTAATGGATCTACGGAGAGGAAGAGTAATCCTGCTGCAGTTGCTGCACTCCAGTAAGACAGTTTGCTGCTGCTGCTGCTGCTGCTGTTGCTGCTGCAGTTGCTGTTGCTGCTTTACTTAGCTGCTGCTCTATACACCTGACTTATTTGGGGTGTATAGGCACATTTAGGTGTATAGGCGGCACCTTCAGCTGTATAGGCAGGTTCAGGTGTATAGGCAGCTGCTCCCTTTAGTAGTTGGGGTGTATACGCAGCTTCAGGTGTATAGGCAGGTAGATAAGACAGAGAGGAAGGAGATGAAGGGAGAGAGTATTTATTATTATAAATATAAATAAATAAATAAATAAATATATATAAATAAATAGAATATAAATAAATATATATAAATAAATATATATAAATAAATAAAATATAAATAAATATAAATAAAAAATATTTAATAATAAGGTACAAAATAAAAAAGAATAAAAATAAATAAATAAATAAAATAAATAAATAAATAAAATAAATAAATAAATAAAATAAATAAATAAATAAATAAATAAAATAAATAAATAAATAGAGTAAATAAAGTAAATATAAGTAAATACTATGTGGGGCCCCCCTGTATATATATACGGTGTATATAATAAGAAGAAAGAAGAAAATAAATAAATAAATAATTAAGTAAAATAAATAAATAAATAAATAAAATAAATAAATAAATAAATAAAAATAAATTAAATAATAATTATTGTAATACATTCAATTTAAAGGAGGGGGGCCCCCAGGTGCTGGTGCTGCTGCTGCTGCCGCTGCATGGGGGCCCCCCTAGCAGCAGCAACAGCAGCAGCTGCTGCTATTGCTGCTGCTGCTGCTGCTGAAAATTTTAAGAAGAATTAAATATTAATAAAAAAATATCTTTTTCTTTAAGTGTCTTACCCTGTTGCTGCAGCAAGGGTTTAGGGTTTAGGGTTTAGGGTTTAGGGTTTAGGGTTTGTATTGGAGGTGAATATACAGGCGATTGTCTCTTTTGCTGCAGACTCCCCCAAGGTATACATGCTGCTGCTACTGCTGCTGCTGTTGCTGCTGTTGCTGCTGTTTTTGTTGCTCCCTCTGCTGGTTCTGCTGCTCCAATTACGCTCCTGCTCCTGTTGCTGTTCCTGCTGCTCCATTTGCTGCTGCTGCTGCTGTTGCTGCTGCTGTTGCTGCTGTGCTGTTTCTGCTGCAGCATCGATGCCGCCTGGTTCGTGTAAGCGGGAGTTGGAGGAGGATTCTTCTTCTTTTGCTGCACGTCCTGCTGCAGCAGGAGTAGGAGGAGTAGTAGCAGAAGGAGGAGCAGCAGGAGAAGCAGCATTTCCTGCTGGTTTGCTGCGTCGTTTGCTGCTGCTGCAGTGCCCATTACCTTTAGGTGTACGTACACCCCAATATGAGGAAATAATATTATGGCTAGAGGAATCATTTATTCGTTTTTTATATAAAAAAGAAAGAAATAAATTAAATATTAATTATAATTATAATTGGTGGATCTCCTTTATTCAGGTATCTTGTACTGCTGCTCCTCCTGCTGCTGCTGCTGCTGCTGATGCTGCTGATGCTGCTGATGCTGCTGATGCTGCTGATGCTGCTGATGCTGCTGTTGATGGTGATGCTGCTGATGGTTGTGCTGCTGATGCTGTTGCTGCTGGTGATTGTGTATATGATTCTTTTGTTGCTGCTGCTGCTGCTGCTGCTGCTGCTGCTGCTGTCTTTGTTGCTGTTGCTATTGCTGCTGCTGCTGTTGCTGCTGCTGCTGCTGTCGCTGTTGTTGCTGCTGCGACTGTTTCGCCATTTTTGTGTCTTTGCTGTGTCTTTGCTGCTCCTCTTTGCTGTCTTTTACATATTTATATTTTATTTATTTATTTATTTATTTATTTATTTATTTATTTATTTATTTATTTATTTATAGTATATAGAGGAATTAGGTATAAAGACAGAGAAGAATATACAAGACACGCAGCAGCAAAGAATTAATTTGCTGCAGCAACTTGTTGCTGTTGCTGTTAAACTTCATTATGAAGATTGTATTGCAGGTCTGCTGCTGCTGCTGCTGCTGCTGCTGTTGCTGTTGCTGCTGTTGCTGCTGCTGCTGTTGCTGCTGCTGGTATTTTGTCTGCAGCTGCTCAGTTGTTGCTGTTTTCTAGTTTTTTCCTGCAGCAGCTGCTGCTGTTATTGTTGCTGCTGCTGCTTTTATTGCTGTTGCTGCTGCTAGTGTCTTGCTGCTGCTGCTGTTGCTGTTGCTGCTGCTGCTGCACATCTTTCTGTGTCTTCTGCTGCTGTCTCTGTGTGGGGCCCACAGAAGGCAAATTGAAGGGGGCAGCAGCAAATACATACAAGAGGCAGCAGCAGCAGCAGAAGCAGCAGCAAAAGCAGCAGCAGCAGCAGCAAACAGCAGAGGATAAGGAAGAATTAAAGGAAATAATGCAGCCCCTTGCTGCTGCACTAAAATGCATGCAGCTGCCGCCGCTACCATCAGATGCTTCTCCTGAGGAGACACTTGCTGCTCTAAAGGTGCTGCTGCTGCTGCTGCTGCTGCTGCTGCTGCTGCTGCAGTTTTTGCTGCTGTTGCTTTGTTGTTACTGATGCTGCCTTGCAGGCAGAATGAGTACACGTTACCCTGCAATCTGCTTATCTTGCTGCTGTTGCTGCTGCTGTTGTTGCTGCTGCTGCTGCAGGCAATTGCTGCAGCGGTTGCTGCTGCAGCAGAAGGTGGTGGAGGAAGCAAAGAGGACGAGGAGAAACGCCGTTTGCTGCAGCAGCTGCCCTTGGTGCTGGGCCCCCGCAACGATTCTGCTGCTGCTGCTGCTAAAGGCAGCAGCAGTAGCAGCAGCAGCAGCAGTGTATTACCTGCTGAGTATGAGCATCAATTTGTATCTGTATTTAGGTTGCTGCTGCTGCAGCAGCAGCAGCAAATACAGCAAATAGTATTTGCTGCTATAGAGAGAATACAACTTCTTACTGCTAACCCTAAGACAGATCTTAGTCAGGCTAAGGTTGGATACTAAACTTCCTGGTGCTGCTGCTGCTGCTGCTGCTGTTGCTGCAGCAGCAGCAGCACTAGCAGTAACAGTAGCTGCTGGTGATGCAGCTTTTGCAGTTGTTGCAGCTGCAGCAGCTGCTGCTGCTGCTGCTGCAGCAGATTTTGTAGTGCTGCAGCTACTCTTATTGCTGCAGCTACTGTATTGGTGCACCTACTGCAGCAGCAGCAGCAACAGCAGCAGCAGCAAAAGCTGCTGCTGCTGCTGCTGCTGTTGCTGCAGCGGAGGACTTCTCGTTTGCCTTGATAAAAGTTTAGTGATGAACAGAAGCATGGGACTTACTGCTGCTGCTGCTGCTGCATTTGCTGCTGCTGCTGCATTTGCTGCTGCTGCTGCTGTTGCTGCTGCTGCTGCTGGCCGACTGCAGCAGCAAAGGCTTGCGTTTCTGGCTGCTTGTTAGTCGAGCAGCTAGCCAATGTAGCTAGCTAGCTAGCTAGCTACCCTGTACTACTACTACTAGTACTACTAACTAGCCACCTACCTAGCTAGCTACCATCCTACCTAGATAGTTAGCTACTTACGTAGCTAGCTACCTAGCTAGCTAGCTAGCTAGCTAGTCAATCCCTCAGCTAGCTAGCTGGCTGAGGGGTGGGTGTTGCTGTTGATATTGTAAAAGGAGACAAAAGGAGACAAAGGGAGACAAAAGGAGACAAAAGGAGACAAAAGGAGACAGTTGCGTTGGCTGTTTGTCTCCTATTGGGCTGTATACTGAGGTGTTTCCTTTTTTATCCAATAAAAAGAATAAAAGGAGATACTTTATTACTCGGGGTTTAGGGTTTAGGGTTTAGGGTTTAGGGTTTAGGGTTTAGGGTTTGGTGTCCCCTTCTAAGGCAGCTTAGTCTTCCTTCCTTCCTGTTTCCATCCTGATGACCTCAGCAGCAGCAGCAGCAGCAGCTGCTGCTGCTGCAACAACAACAGCAGCAGCAGTAACAGCAACAGGCGTAATAGTGTCGGCAGCAGCAACACTAGCAGCACCAGCAGAAGCAGCAGCAGCAGCAGCAGCAGCAGCAGCAGAATTTCTTGCTGTGTATACACTATAGATAAAAAGGAGACACTTAAATTATATAATTTATATAATAAAGACAGAAGGAAGACAAAAGGGTACAAACCCTCTAAACCCCCCAAAGGGGGGCCCCCGTTGGGGGGCCCCCCTCTAGGTGTTAGGGTTTAGGGTTTAGGGTTTAGGGTTTAGGGTTTAGGGTTTGAACAGATATTTTATTTGTTTTAATTATTTTTTTATTTTATTTGTTTTGTTTGCGGTGTATAAGTGTCTCCTTTTATCTGTTGTAGGGAATAGGAGGAGACTGTGTGTCTTGGTAGCAGCAAACAGCAGCAGCAGCAGCAGCAGCAAACAGCAGCAAACAGCATCAGGCAGGAAGACACAACAGCTAACAATAGCTAACAACAGCAGACAGCAGCAGCAAGCAGCCAGCAGCAGCAGCAAACAGCAGCTAGCCGCAGCAGGCAGCAACAGACTGCAGACAGCCAGCAGCAGACAGCAGCAGCAACACAAGACATACATAATGTCTCCTCCTCCTGCTGCTCCTCTAGTAGACTCTGCTGTTGCTGTTGCTACAGCAGCAGCAGCAACAACAGCAACAGCAGCAACAACAACAGCAGCAACAACACCACCATCAGCAGCAGGAGATGAAGGGACACCATCAACACCAGCAACACCTCCCCTACCAGCAGCAGCAGCAACAGCAACAGCAGCAACAGCAGCAGCAGCAGCAGCAGCAGCAGATTGGAGACAGTTGCTTCCTCTTAGGGAGACAGTAAAAAAGGGTCTCCTTTCTCATGCTGCTGATCATTCAGTATATCTTCCTTATGGTACCTCAGGTAAGGAGACACCCTCCCTGCTGCTGCAGCAGCTGCTGCTGCTGCTGCTGCTGTATAGATATATATAGTAGGGTGTATATGTGTCTCCTTTGCTGCTTAGGGTTTCGTGCTGCAGCAGAGTTGCTGCCAGCAGCAGCATACAGGTGTGGTCTATTTGGTGGTTTATTTTCTTTGCTGCTGTGTCTGCTGCACCGCAACAAGAAACCATCAGCAGCAGCAGCAGCAGCAGAACCATCACAATCAGCAGCAGCAGCAGCAGCAGCAGCAGCAGGAGGAGGAGGAGAAGGGTGCGGTGTCTCCTCTGGGTATATATTAGGGTGTATAATAACAGCTAGCCATAACGCAGCAGGAGACAACGGCCTTAAGCTAACAGACACCACGGGGTGTCTCCTGTCTCCTTATTTAGAGACACTATTAGAGCAATTTGTTAATGCTCGTCTCCTACACCAGCAGCAGCAGCAGCAGCAGCAGCAGCAGCAGCAGCAGCAAGTGCAGCAGCAGCAGCAGCAGCAGCAGCAGATGAGTAATGATGAGGTAGCAGAAAAGGAGACAGATGCTTTCTTTCAACTTGCGGAGACACTCTACGACTGTCTCCAAAAGGAGACACATAATCAGCAGCAGCAGCAGCAGCAGCAGGAACAGCAGCAGCAGCAGCAGGAGCAGCAGCTAGAGTTGGATGATGTATGGGGCTGTGTCTTGCATGGCCGAGACCCTCGTGCTTCTTCTGCTGCACTAGAGGCAGCATTTGCTGCTGCATTAGATCTATTATCTGCTGCTGCTATCCCTTTAGGTGTATGTACAACTGGGCAGCTGCAGCTGCTAGTGTGTCTCCTTAATGCAGCAATTGCAGCAAAAGAGCCGCTGCTGCAGCAGCAGCAGCATCAGCAGCTACTAGATGCAATGCAGCCTCTATTTGGATCTAAAATGATGCACCTACAGCAGCAGCAGCAGCACCAGCAACAGCAGCAGCAGCAGCAGCAGCAGCACGAGTACAGGCAGCAGCTAGGGAAGGAATTAGGGCAGCAGCTGCCTCGTTATTACTTTTGTTACTTCGAGGGACACCTCAAAACCCTCACAGATATGTTAAGGGCTAGTAACCTATTAGAAGGTAAGCAGCAGCAGCAGCAGCAGCAGCAGCAGCAGCAGCAGCAGCAGCAGCAAGTGCAGCAGCAAGTGCAGCAGCAGCAGTAGTAGTAGTAGAAGATGCAGCAGTAGCATGTTTAGAAAACAGCACTCTAAAGGAACACAAACTCACCAAGGGGTTTAGGGTTTAGGGTTTAGGGTTTAGGGTTTAGGGTTTAGGGTTTAGGGTTTAGGGTTTAGGGTTTGTTGCAGGGCATGGCTCTGCGCCTATATTTCTTGACTGTGCGAATGGAGCAGCAGCAGCAGTTGTTGGTCCGCTGCAGCAGCTGCTGCTGCTGTTTGGAGACAAGAAGCTGCATGCACGTAATATAGGCTCAGAGACAGAGGACAACTGCAGCAGCAGCAGCAGCAGCAGCAGCAGCAACAGCAGCTTGATCAATGATAAGTGTGGCTCTGAATATGTACAGAAGGGATGCACACTACCACAAAGATTTGGTAAACATTTGTTGCTGCTGCTGCTGCTGCTGCTGCTGCTGCTGCTGTTGCTGCTGCTGCTGTTTGTACAGTTGCTGGTGTTGGTGTAGGACAGTTGTAGCTATACTAGAAGCAGCAACAGCAACAGCAACAGCAACAGCAGCAGCAGCAGCAGCAGCAGCAAGAGTGTCTCCTTTTGTGTACAGGGTATAGAGGAGACCCATCAGAGGGAGAAGCTTGCTGCTCCTTTGATGGAGACGCAGACAGAATTGTTTATTTTATGTGGAGAAATGTGCAGCAGCAGCAGCAGCAGCAGCAGCAGCAGCAGGAGCAGCAGCAGCAGCAAGAGCAGCAGCAAGAGCAGCAGCAAGAGCAGCAGCAAGAGCAGCAGCAGCAGGAGAAAATAGTAAATATATTTGATGGAGACAGGATTGCCTGTCTCTTTGTGCTGCTGCTTGTTAAACTATTAATACTGTCTCCTCTTATTTATACTGTCTCCTCTTATTTATACTGTCTCCTCTTATTTATTGTCTGCTCCTCTTATTTATAGTGTCTCCTCCTCTTATTTATTGTGTCTCCTCCTCTTATTTATACTGTCTCCTTTTATTTGTACTCTCTCCTCTTATTTACTGTCTCCTTTTATTTATAGTGTCTCCTCCTCTTATTTATACTGTCTCCTCTTATTTACTGTCTCCTCTTATTTATAGTGTCTCCTCTTATTTATAGTGTCTCCTTTTATTTACTGTCTCCTTTTATTTATTTATTATAAATAAATAATAAATAAATTAAAAT